AAAAAAAAAAAAAAAAACTTTCTTAATTTTCTTTCATTTTTTTTGGCGGGGTGTTGACCGACCCCCAACCGGTAGGTGCCGACCAGTCCGACGGTCGGCTGGTCGGCCCCCGACCAATCCAGGGGCGCCGACCGTCGGCATGACTACTCTGCGGGCAATATAATAGAAAATGCAAGGTTCCCACGTTTGTGTGGTTGAGCGCGAAGTGCCCACACACTCGTCTGCCGGGTGTGTGTGCGTTGCGTGTGTGTTTGGATTTGATGAACTCAGAACTAGAAAAGTTGGGGCAAGCAATTGCAGCACAGCAAATGGAACATTCATCCAGGCTGCAAACCAAGTTCGATCAAAGCACTGAAAAGACAAGAAAATAACCAAAAAAAAAATAAAAAAAATTAGAAGTTTGCTCCCACCTGTAACTTATCTTCAATTGCTGTTGCGCCAACCAAGATAAGGTTCCGTTCAATAAGTTCACAAACTTCTGCTAGCTTCCACTGCAATTTCAAAAAAATAGAGGACAACAAGCGAAGGAAAGAAACAAAACACAATGATGCGAGTTATTTGAACTGAATCTTTCCTTCCTTGCAATCCAGGCATAGTCACATTTTGATGGGTTGCAGAGACGAGCAGGGGAAAGAGAGGCGGTTGGGGGGGGGGGGGGGGGGGGGGGGGGGGGGGGGGGGGGGGGGGGGGGGGGGGGGGGGGGGGGGGGGGGGGGGGCGGGGCTGTGCGTGACGAAAGAGGAACGCTGTGCGCATCCCGGTGCAGAACGCACAGAAAAGCAACCCTGTGGACTTTCCAGGGTGATGGTATTGATTCCTCAGCGAGAACTGTGAGGTCAGTGAGGTGGATAAAGCACCAATGCAGGTGCCATACACAATGGCCCACCAAAGCGATTTTCAAGACTGATTGCCCTGTTTTGGGTGGAAAAAAAGGCAAAAAAAGGAACAAGCCGAGATGTTGAGTGGGTGAAACCAACAGGATGGACAGAGAAGATGGGTATGGTCAACACCGAGGATGGGATACCACCTCAGGATCGGCACGGATTTGTGGATCCCAACTCAGGGTGCTGACACCAGGAGCATGCAATCCCAACTCAGGGTGGATTGGGATCCCAGGTTGGATGGGATCCCAACTCAGGGTGAGCATCATTTCATGATACAAAACTGTCAGCATGAGGTTATTTGTTCTTGTGTTTTGCATTGATTGACTCTGAGCTAATTACGACCATTGAACAAACTTGGTGGACAAACACAATGTATGTGAAGCTAAAGTAGCAGCTGCTTGAGCATTTGACAAACTAATTGAACTTTCGAGCTTTTGAAGTTCTGAAGCAAGGAAAAAAAAACAAAAAAAAAAACAAAAAAAAAAAACGTTTGAATCCCAGACAACTATATCCAGACCAAAGGATATGCAGGTAATAATGCTACTGGTTAATGGGGACCGCCCAGTCTCAGCCCCTGACTAACAGGCCCAAAACTGAAATTAGGGTTTGGGGGTGAATTTTGAAAGGCCTTCCACGATTCAGACCCCAAATGCGGGTCTCAGGGTCAGATGCCCTGGTCAAGAAAAGGCCGAGTTCTTCAAACTCAGAAAGTCAAAGTCGGGTACCTCAGCAGTCTGGTCCAACAGGCACCCATCAAACAGTCACATCTCAGGGACAAGAGTCACGTCTCATAATAAAAAGCCATTTTGAAGAGTCGCATCCCACGTGTGAAAAGGCAGATTCACAAGCAAGAGTCATGTCTCAAAGGCAGGAGTCACGTCTCATAATGAAAAGTCATATTGAAGAGTCACATCCCACGAGTAAAAGGGTAGTTCCACAGGCAAAAGTCGTGTTCCAGAGGCAGGAGTCACAGTCCACAGTAAAAAGTCATGTTCATAAGTGAAAAGTCACGACTCAAAGGCCCAAGCAGCAGCAGACCAAAGGAAATTCGGGAAGGTTCCGGGCGTTGACATTCAGAAGCAGACAGGTCGTGGGGATGTGGTACCGGAACCAGCCAGATCCCAGAAAGCAGAAGCTGGCACAAGTTGAAGAGCATTCCAAGACTACAAAAGGACTGGCCAGCCTACCATTCGGGCAGATTGCTCATTCGCAAGAAGTGCGGAAGTGCTGGTGCACTTGTGCGCTGTAGTGAAGAGCAGAGCGCTGAAGCCAGAGTGCTGCGCGAAGAGAGAGAGAGGGAGAGAGGAAGACAGCACTGGCAGGGAGAAGGTGGCCATAGCTGCGCCAGTGCAGGGTGTTAGTGTTAGTAACTTGGTATTGAGTAGTAGTCTTCAGAGAGTTCGTAGAGTTGACAGTGGGTGTATTCAAAGTAGATCCTTGAGTAGAAGTTGGTCAGTGTGCTTGTATGTAGGGAGAGAAGACACAGCGAGGACATAGTTGGAGAGAAGACCAGTAAGGAGAAGAGATTCACAAGAGAGAAGAGCAGTGAGGAAGAGATACTTACCTGAGAGTTTATGCTGGTTAATGGTTACCTTTGGCATGCGCTGATGAGCGCTGGTGACTTGAACTCTTATTGCTCTTGTAATAACTTGTTGGAATTCACAACCTGCGGTACCTGGTCTTTATCTCTCTGATCTCCAGTGTGAACTTTGTGTGATGTCATACATGCACGTGGTCTGAATATGTGCGCTCACTGGTGTTGAACTAAGAGGTTCATTGCATTTTTTTTGTGTTTTTAAAACTTTTTTAAGTTTGAACTTTTTTTTTTTTTTTTTTTTGCCAGCTCTGCAGCTGAATCTTACAAACACACAGCTGTCAGTAAGCCGATCATCAGATCGAATCCACTGCTAGACTCAGATGGAGATAATAATGTCAGGGTGCCAGGGACTACATATCCCCTTTACAAGTTTACGCACACGAAAATTTTTTTTTAAAAAAATCCGACAAAGCAAAAGAGAGTAAGAGAGAAAATCACAGCAAAAATCAAAATACAGACATACAGAAGACAGCTGAGCGAAAGTTACGCAACCCGTAAGAAGGGAAAAAAAACAAAATCACCAAACACAGTCCTTCGCCGGGTCTGCTAGAAGGAGATGCTCATACCACTCTCTTCAGCAGACCAGGGTCCTTTGGGACATTCAGTAACAAGTGGAATAATATAAAAAAGATTAGCATGGACCCTGTGCAAAGATGACTCGCACAAATTGAGAAATCGTCCACACAGAAACAAACAAAAAAAAAAAACATGGCTGCAATCTAGACAGTGCGGATGGTCTGGGTCCGCTATACAAAACTCTTTTGGCTGAGGATCTTCTTTAAATTCGTCCCCAAATCCAGGGAAAAAAATAAAATTTATTTTCTTTGGGGGGAGAAGGGCAGGGCAGATCAATGTGGACAGTCCGGAGCCATCCAGACAGAGGTACGGTCGGACGTCTGGATTCGTCCAGTGTCCAGGCCCAGCGTAGCCATGCAAAACACCGACCAAACACACAAACAAATGACGGAAGAGCTTGCTCATCACGTTGTCCTTTTGTAACAGAAAAGCCAAGAGCGTGCTCAATGGACAAGCTTGCTTACGGAAGGATTTCACGTCTCAGTCATGTCCCAACTCCCGGTCCCAGAGTCCCAGTTCTAAGAAAAGTAACCGACAAGGCAGGCCCAGCGGCCAAAACGCTGCTTTGCAGATTCAGTAGATCGTAGTTAGTCATAGGCCGTACGAGTAAGGCAGGCCCAGTCCCTGACAAGAAAAGTCTTCAAGTCCCAGTCTAAAATTAACAGCAGCATCCTGGGAAAGGCCGGTGGGTTCTGGAACTGGCAAACGTGCAGCCAACAGGGCTTGGTGGACCGCTACCGGTCTGGAGCCGGCAAAGATCTCAACAACTCAGCCACTATTTAAGCTGCACAATACTTGAGTTACTCACTTCTCAATCTGCATGTTGTGGAATTGCGATGGACGAGGAGACTACCGTCTTAATCCGAAAACAAGGTGCGTACCTTGTATTCAAGTTACCTCCGAAAAACGGGTTCTAAGAAATCGCTGTTAAATTTTCGAATAGAAGTTACCCTCTGAATACAAGGTACATACCTTGTATTCGAGGTGTGCCTTGTAACTGCCATGTAACTCTCTCTCTCTGACACACACACACACACACAAAAAAAAAACAAAAAAAAAAAAAACATGTAACGTTCGAATGCATGCTGGATCGTGAGCACGAAGTGCAGTCAAAAAAAAAAACGCGGCTGATTGTGTTCTGTTCGTGATATTATTACTAATATTTACTATATACTTTTTTTTCTTTTTTTTTCCCCTTGCCTAGGAAAGCTGCATCCTAAAATTCGTTCTACAAGGTATGTACCTTGTATTCAAATACAAGGTACCCCGTACCTTGTTTTCGGGTTAAGATGGTAGTCGGGTGTTGGTTGAGATAGCCAGCGCTGTGGCGCCGTAGCTACGGCTAGCCAGGAAGAAAGACACCACCATACCTGATAGGGTTAGCGAGAGAGAGAGAGAGAGAGAGAGAGAGAGAGAGAGAGAGAGAGAGAGAGAGAGAGAGAGAGAGAGAGAGAGAGAGAGAGAGAGAGAGANGGCTGCATTCAGAGAGTGAGAGTGAGCGAACCAAGTGAGGAGAGTAAGTGATACAACTGAGGGACAGCACGCGCACGTGCGGGGGGGAGAGAGAGAGAGAGAGAGAGAGAGAGAGAGAGAGAGAGAGAGAGAGAGAGAGAGAGAGAGAGAGAGAGCAGCTTACCTTACCTGAGAGCGGGAGAGAAGGAAGTTGGCAGCCATAGCCGCATGTACCATGAACCGGAGACTTGGATAATTCTGTGTTTGGGAATATTACGTCGGATCGTTGCACTTTATGGAAAAGCATGCGTGCCTTGTTTTGATGTATGGTTTTGTATTGGAAAAGCTAAGGTACAAGCTTGCTTAATGGAAAAGGTTGCTTATCTTGTTTTTAATCTGGAACTTGCTTGCTTGCTTGTTTTTTTTTCTTTTCAATTTGTTGTTGTTGTTGTTGTTGTTGTTGTTGTTCTTGTTGTTGTTGTTTGTTGTTGTTGTTGTTGTTGTTGTTTGTTGTTGTTGTTGTTGTTGTTGTTGTTGTCTGTTGTTGTTGTTGTTGTTGTTGTTGTTGTTGTTGTTGTTGTTCTGCAATTGTTCTGTAACGGAAAAGCTGAGCTTGCTTAACAGAAGTGAAGAGCTTGCTTAACGGAAAAGCTAAAGCTTCCCTATCTTATCCTTGCGCTATAACGGAAAGCAAAGTTCACTTACCTCACGTTCCGTTACGGAAGCGCTTGCTTCCCTGAACCGCTTGTCCCAGACCTCATACTCCTCCTCTGTGATATCTCTCCGTGCAAAGCAGAGTGTTCGAAGACCAGACTGAGCGTACTGCTCGAGACAATCCGCAATCGACCTTAGGTCTTGATCTGTGGACACATATATCACCAAATGAGAGAGAAACAAATCATTCAGTCAGTAACTGTGGGTAGAGCTAGATGGGACATATCTTGAACTGGTGCCTTTATTTTTCTTTTTTTTTTTTCAATTTGTTTTTGTGAATTTAAGGGGGTGACCCCTGACATTATTGTATCCATCTGTCTTTTATTTTTTTTAATTAAGCGGCTATGTTACGGACTTCGCCAGGGCTCGATCCCTGGTCTATCTTTTTGCTGTTTCAGCTGCATCCCGTTTTCGGTCTGGCACCCTTTTTCCAAACCCCTCTTTTGGTACCGTAGGATTTTGGACAACTGGCGCCATGCTGCAATTCGGGCGCCACTTTCAAATACTGCATTTTTCAGTTCTGCCCTCGGGGCCTTTGCAGAAATGCCCCTAGTACCGTACGTGTCACCGGTACTTATACCGGCTCCCCGTACGGTACGGGGACCAGTCTCGTACCAGTTCTCTGCTGCTGTACTCGTACTCAGTGTGACTTGCTGTTTTCGGCATTCGGGAATCGAAGACTTCGACTTTGTGCCTTGCCACTGTGTCTGCGTCCGATCCTCAATCCGAGTCCGTTGTGTCAAGTGAGTGAGTGTGTGTGTGTGCTCTCACTCTCCCCCTCTCTCTCCTCTCCCTCGGCTCACCCTCAGCCTCACGCTCGTTACAGGATAGCCCCTAACATTATTGTACCCATCTGTCTTGTTATACCCATCTTCAACTGTTAAGCCTTCTATTTCAAGCTTCTTTCTTTTCTTTTCTTCATGTGTCATCCTCGTGCAGGGGCCATGCTAATCTTCCCTCTCTGTTTCGTTCTGATTTTAACAGATATCCCAAATATACGTTAAGATTCTTAAGAAGCATTCAAACTCCAAATTCTAGCCTGTTTCAAAATTCCAAGCCACTACCCGTTCAGAACAGAATTAAAAAGTAAAAAGACGTCAACGGGCTACCGGTTGAGAAGAATGACAAAGAATGACGATCTTGACTCATGCAAATGCAAGCTTCCCAATTCGATCATGCCCTATGACTAATATTATTCATCAATTATAACTAGAATTAGAATTTCAAAACATGGGTCTCCACACGTCAGAGCACATGATGATCATACACGGCACGCCCATCACAGCCTGCCTTGTCACATCCATATGTATCGCCCCTGCAGTTGAAGGTATACAGGTGTAATGAACCCAGTCGTATTGAGAAGCCCATCAGTGTCGTGATACACGTTGAACCCAACGGGCAAAATAATGTCTCCAAAATCGATTATATGTCCATGCCTAGCATATGTGCATTTTCCAAGAGCATCATAACTTCGGAGAAGAGAATGAGGTAGTGGGGAAAAGAGACAGGGAGTAGGAGAAGAAGCGTCCCAGTGATAATCAATAATGCATGGAGTCTCTTCCTGCCCACTTCCTCCTCGGGCATTAACCCCCCATGCCGCCACCTCAGCAGTACAGTTTCTCTCTGGCATCCTCTGACAGTTTGTGTGCAGGACACAGCGGGGTGCCCATCCGCCATCCTCTTCAGCAGCCAATCAGGGAGGATGGCGCAGATCTTCCTCGACTTTGTGAAGACGAGCAGCAGATCATACATGACTTCGCCAGGTAAGTCCAGGTAAGCTTTTCCTCGAACCCCCTCGAGTCTCACAGCCTTGATCCACCCCCTCCTCACCCAACCTCAACACCAATGTCTATAGTTATGGCGGCAATGGCCGCTCCAACATAAGCTCCTCTTATGCTTGGCGCCCCCCCAGCAGCACTGGCACCAGCATAAACTCATGCAACCTCGCGATACCGTACTAGCATCAAGCCAGGGCAAGGCTGCATGCCTTCCCCATTGTCTGGCCGCCTTTTGTAATGCTGACAATTGTGGACTGCCGTGGACCAGGCTTACCTTTGTCGGTATCGACGCTTCAGATTTGCTCACTTTCGACGGTCTGGATGCAGCTTCGCAGCAGCGGTACCTTTTCCCAGTCGGGACTGGAATCTTCTGGCTACCTGCAGACAACCAATGATATGCATCTGATCGACAGCCGTGGCTGGCCAACGGGCTGACTTTGACTTTGGGCCTGGGATCCCGTGATGGGGTTGACTCTTGATTTTTCAGAAGTCAACTGTCTCACGTTACGGTACTGGACACAGCTTTTGACTCAAATCCTGGTAACCCTTTTGACCCTAGGAACTTTCTCAGACATTTCTCAGGCTTGGGATGTGACTTTCGACCGCTGTTTCTGGCCTTTGACCAAAAGTTACGACCCTTGCTCGCGTCTGGGCAGATCAAAATCGGGTTTATTACACAGGCCATATCCAGGGCTGGGCCGGCAACCGGCCGGTCGAGCTGGCCCAGTCCAACCAGGGCCGGACCAGCCCACGAGGGGTCAACTGGCAAACCGGATGGTAAAAAGAAGTGGCGGGATAAGACTGCGCTTGCTGAGATCTGTCCGATTCCACAATAAAACTTTTGGGGATTTTTTCAAGGGGGGGGGTCGAGGTCGAGAGTAAATGAGCAGACGTCGACGAGAAGAGGAGGAGGAAGTAAAAAAAAAAAAAAAAAAATTGGCTATGGCTAACAGAGAGGATGAGAAGAGGAGGAAGAATAAGAGCCGGAGGAGATGAAGAGCAGGATATGACGAGTGGAAGAAGAATAAGAAGCACGGGAGGAGGAGAAGGAGAAGAAGAAGAAAGTGGAAAAAGCACGGGGGTGGGTTGAGGATGATGGGCGACCGGCGGGATCATCGTGGGCGGGGAGGCCGAAGAAGACGAAGAAAAGGAGGAGAGGACGAAGAAGACGAAGAGGACTAGGGGAGGAAGAAGAGGACAACGAAGAAGAGAGGAGGAAGGAGATGAAAAGGAGTGAAAGAAGTCGAAGACGAAGAAGAAGAGGCGGATGAGGAGGAGAAGAGAAGCAGACCAGGAGTCGAAGAAAAAGACGAGTAGGAGGAGGAGAAGAACAGCAGACGTTGAAGAAGTCAAACGGCGAAGAAGAAGTTGTCAAAAGAAGAAGAAGAAGAGGAAGAAGAAGAAGAAGAAGAAGAAGAGAAGCAGACCAGGACTCGAAGAAGAAGAAGAGGAGGAGGAGGAGGAGGAGAAGAAGATGAGCAGACGTCGAAGAAGAAGAAGAGGAAGAAGAAGAAGAAGAAAAGGAAGGGCGGGGGGCCACAAACTGGGCGCCGGTGTGGCTCGATGGCGACTGGCAGGATACTTGATGGCGATGCTGGCGGGGCGCTTGATGGCGACGCTGGTTGGCGGTTGACACCTGGCAGGGGGCTTGATGGCGACGATGGCTGGCGCTGCTTGATGGCCGTCGCGCTGGCGGGGGCAAACGCGGCGTCAACTGCAAAGGCACAAGGGGTTGGGCGTGTAACCGTTTTCCCCCGCCGAGTGTTTGCACCAGTGCGCGGTTCCCGCCCAAAGGGGTTAAAAAAAGCGGCCGATCTTCACCGCTAATCTGTGATGATCCGTGGCCAAGATTGGCGGCTTTTTGGACACACACAAAACGGGCCTACGGGACCCGGTTTCAGATTTGTGGGGCAGGGCCTGCCTCCAAAAGCCCTCCCACACACCGCCGCGCCGCCAGATAATTCGTTTCGGCCCCCAGCGAAAATGCGCTGGGGGCAACCAGGAGGGAACCGACCCGGTCCACCGGCCGGTTCAACCAGGAGGACCCGGTCGGGGGAGGGGGTCCCGATCCATCCGGGGGGACCAGGCCTCTGCTTTTTTATCTTTTTCAAAGTTTTTCTGAGTGGGGATCCGGGCCGCCCGGGTGACCGGCAGGGGCCCGGGGGAGGTCCCGGGCGGCCTGGCCGAGCCAGGCACCCGGTTGGGGGCCGGGCCCCCCTCAAAAGAAAAATCCGAAGGGTGAAAATGAAGATGAAAAATGAAGAAGGAAGTGCAGGTGCGCTGAAAAGCGAACGTGGTAGATTCTTCACCAAAACTGCAAAACCGTGAAAGAAAGAAGAATGCAGTAAAAGAAAGAAGATGTTTGTGTCACCCTTATTTTATTTTTATTTTTTCTCCCTCTGCCTATCGGTTTTCCTTCTCTGCTCCTCTCTTCCTTGTGTTTAACACCTCTTCCTTCACTCTGCCTCTTTCCCATAGCGTGCAAGTGGGCTGTTATGGCATACGGGGATGGGGGCAGCTCGCTCTCAACTTCATCAAAGTGGCGAGCCTTGTACGTTAGAGGCATAGTGGAGGACGCGTTAAGAAGACTGAGAAACTGAATGATTTCAATGTGTCTTTGTTTTTTATTTTTATCCTTTGATTCAGTGTAATATTTTTTTGTAAAACACTGAAAGAAATAATAATACTGTGAAACAAAGAATAAGAGGACACTGTTTTGTGTCACTCTGGTTTGTCTGTCTCTTTGCCTGTCTATCCTTTCATTTTTCTTTTCTTCGCTCATCTTATTTCTTCTTCTACTTCACGTGCTTACGCTCTTAGTCAATAGTTCTGTGACAATATATATAGTCAAACAGAGCTGCCCGGTAAACCGTAGGCAGAGAGGGAGAAGAGGACAACAAACGAGGGGCTGTGGCAAACTGTTGCATCGGAGTTTCACCGACTCATCAGGAGGCTGAACCCTCAACAGTTTGCAGAATCCCCTAACTGAATACACTGTAAGTGATAATCCACCTTAACCCCGGCTGTGGTTAAGCATCAACGACTGCCCGACAACTGATACCCTGAGGTTGGCACCAACCACTGCCCTCAAGGTATATATATATATATATCGTCACAAACAGAACTGCCTGGTAAACCGTAGGCAGAGAGAGAGAAGAGGACAACAAACGAGGGGCTGTGACAAACTGTTTCGTCGAAGTTTCACCGACTCATCAGGAGGCTGAACCCTCAACAGTCTGCAGAATCCCCTCACTGATTACACTGTAAATGATAATCTACCTTAACCAAAATCAAAGTAGACTATCACTCACCCACASCAGATGGAAAAYTCTACAGACTGTCGGTTCACACCCCATCACAAGCCADCAAAACATCCACGAAACAAAGAAAGGTCTGTCACARCCAAAAAATACACTCCAGACACGCCGCTGGCACTAGAGGCACGGCATGGCCGCCTAGTAACGGCCCCGACCACTGCCGCTCGACCTGACCGGAAAAAACCGTAGCAGGAAGCTAGCGAAGTCGTAGTATATATATTTCTGGGCGACTTTTTGGCCCGCCCGGTTTACCCGGGCCCAACCTGGCTGGGCGGCGTCCCCACTCAGAAGTTTTTTCCTTTTTATGTTCTTTTTTAGGCTGCTAGCTGGGCTGCCCAGGTCACCTTGTTTGCCTGGGCAGCCCGGCCGTGCAAGGGCAAAAGAATGTCCCAGAAAAAAAGAAAAAAATCTGAAAAAAAAAACTACGTTATGGCAGAAAAATAAACTGAACAACTTTTGCCTCAGGGTCAAATTGAAGGGGAGGACAGGGCTGCCTTTTCTAGCATGTACGCATGTGTGTAGCTCGCATCAGCGATTTGAACCCTGTATCAGTAAATGCCTCCTCCTTGCATAAATGCATTTGTGTAATTTGTTGTCTGGGATTTGAACCCTGTACCAGTAGATGTGTGAAGTCTTGACGACCGTTTTTTTTTTTTTTTCCAGTGTAGTCTTAGACAGATCCCGTCCTCGAACACGGCACCTTTTGTTCGATTCTGGCATCGCCTGGACCGCTGGAATGGGTACCAGGGTCCGCATTGGAGTTAGTCCCGGCAGGGGACCGGCAGTAATAGCATGGATTTTGTTTTTGTTCTTTTTTTATTTCGTCTTGTTCTGTGAACTTGAACTTTTGGTCCCTGGACGTGTGACTTTAGTCAGTCGTAGTGTCAGAGGCTGTGGGGGAGACCAATAAGAGTAATAATTGTACCGCTATTCGGTCTTTTTGGGTCCAACGCCAGGAAACCCACGTCCATTTCCATAGATGGTAGCGGGGAGACGGCGGAGGTGGGTTAGAGGGATGCAGGATTCTGACGAGGGTGAGGCAAGGCGGTATTCCCCCTGAGGAGGACAGAGTGGCGGCTGTCGAAACCGGTCGGGGTGCCATACCCACCGGAGGTCAATCAATCACGTACGACTGTACTTAATGTACACAGTACTTTGTGGTATCTCTTTCGTCTACGAGTGCTTTGTGCATATGTGCTTTGTACTCTATATGACGTGTGATGCAACATCACATCAAAATGCATTACCAAATTTAAAATAAAAATCAAGTTCAAAGTTCAAAGTTCAAAAACTTTTTTTTTTTTTTTTTTTGTGGGCCAGCCGGGCAAGTCGTCCCATGCCCTTTTTTTTTTTTTTTTGGCCCAGCTGGGCAAATCGTCCCGTGCCACTCTGCGAGCCTAGTTTTTTTCCTTTTTTTTCCCTCTTTTCTTTTAGGCCACATGCATTGTATTGTATGCAAAAGGTGCAAGCCCCACCATACCCCAACTGCAGTGTATATTGCCCTAAGCTTGTGGCCGGGCATATCCGGCTTCAAGCGGGGCACACATCCGATAGTGTGGAGATATGTCCGTCCAATTCCCAGGTCTACACAACGGTCTTGCCCCAAACATAACACACCCATTAGGAATGTAATAATGTATACAAGTCATTTTTTCAGTCCAATACAGTCATTATGAGGGTGTGTTCTGTTTGGAAGAAGACTGTCGCCATATGGTACGACGCATAATCTCTGCCTGGATCTCGTTGTCATCAGAAGGGGGTCAAATGAGAGGGGTCAGGGGTTAGAAATTAATACAACTACATGCAAGATGCCTAAATTTGAAAATTTGATTGAATCCCACTCAAAAAAAAAGAAAAAAAAGAGGAAGACATCTATCGTCCACAACCACAAAGTGGCTCACCCGCTCTAAGCCTTGAGAAGATCATTTCATCTGCTCCTTTTATGTACAGTTTTATTTGGCCTGTGTTGGGCTCCTTCACCACGATGGACATTCTCTTCCGCTCCGACGAGAACTCCAGCACTGCCAACAACTCGTACTGAACGGGTGTCCCCAAAAAGTTGACCTCTGCAGACAAAGGGTACGTGAAAATGTGAGCACTCAGGTGAAAGTTGCAATTCCCATCCAACTCAGAACATGTACACAGAGAACACTCAGATAAAAGTTCACACCACACCGAGAGATGACACAAGAATCAGCACCTGAAGAATTTGCACTCGAAAATATGATATGAATTCATATAATACAATTGGAGAGTTCAGGTGTTCAGCCGCCGTGGCCGCAATCCAACACAACAACCCGACTGCAGGTGCGTACCTAACTCCCCTCCCCCCCTTCCCCCCCCAATCTCTCTCTCTCTCTCTCTCTCTCTCTCTCTCTCTCTCTCTCTCTCTCTCTCTCTCTCTCTCTCTCTCTCAAGACTTGCACCGCTCAACCTCCCTGCTGAGCTCAGCTCTCCTCCTTTGCCTAGATCTACCCTGAATGCAACTGCAGCATGTTGCCCTACTCTTGTGGCTATGGCCGCCTTCTTCCTCAACCTCTTAACACGAGCTATGGTAACCAGACGTCTTCTTCCCCACCGGGCACTCGCTCCTCCTTCAGCGGCCCACCTTCTGTGGCATACTGCGCAGCCACACAGGCCTGCAGGGCCCGACCAGTGTTCTCAGCCTAAAAGCCTGAAAACAAGGACCTACAGGCCCTGTGTCGTTCTCAGCCTAAAAGCCTGAAAACAAGGGCCTACAGGCCCTGTGTCGTTTTCAGCCTGAAAGCCTGAAAACGAGGGCCTACAGGCCCTATGTCGTTTCAGCCTAAAGCAGGGCCCTCCAGGCCCTGAGTCTTTTCAGCCTGAAACGGAGGGCCATTTTCAGGCCCTCATAAGATCGACCTGCCCTGAAACTTAGGCACCAGACCAGGGTTTTAGCACAGGCCATTGTTGGCCTGTTTTCAAGACAACTGTTGTTTGAACTTCAACGCCAGGGTCTGGCGTGTTTCGGCATTGGCAAGAGCAGCCTCCTGGGCGGGCCAGCACTATATAAGACTGGCACGCCCTACAGGCTGGGGAGGGTCACGAGGCAGTTCATAGGAACTTCCTAGGCACTTCACGTCCAGGAGGCAGGAGGCAGTCTTCAGGATTCGGCAGCAGCACTCTGGAGGAGCGCTGCAGTAGTAGTACTAGTGTTAGCAGTAGTCTTCAGCGCTGGGCGCTATCAGGAGCTAGAGTAGTAGTGGAGAGAGAGAGAGATGGTTGGCGGAGGCCAGGGAGACTTACCTGTGGCGCCATAGCTCCAGCTTCGACTTCGATGTACCTGCAACAAGGCGCCACCTTCACAGGTTAGTACCGGACTGAGAGAGAGAGAGAGAGAGAGTTCTTCTTCTTCCTCTTCTAAGTCCACCATCTCCTCCTCCCCCTCTCGCTACCTGACTTCTCAGTATCTGAAGACTACGAGAGAGAGAGAGAGAGAGATTGGTGACTTTGGGACTTGACGACATTTGGGTCCAGACTCGACATTGGGATTCAGACATTTGACGAGGGATTATTTGGGACCTCTACCGAAGACTTGGTGTTGACGACATTCCCATCTTCCCCTCTTCTTCRTCTAACCCCCCTCTTCTTCRTCTGTGTATGGTTGGGGACTGGCGCATTCTTCCTGTGTGAGCGCCAGGCCCCTTCACACCATGGAATGATGATGATGTATGTCTGGTCTGCATGGCAACATTGATTGTTCGGATCATTGGTATTTAAGCCTTCCGCTGTGCTATCTTGTATTATGTGAGAGAGGTCGGTTCTTGTTCTGGTCTGCACCTTTACGGTATGCGACACCTTCCGTCCACGTTGTACTACCGCACAAGCAGCCCGCAGCGCTTCCGCAACTTGCACATGAACAATTGATCCTGCTTACTGATGCTATTGGGCTTTTATAGTTGCTGATCCGCCTTCCAGACATCCTCTGTTGGTTATGGGTTGGTTCCCTTTGCCTTCGTTCCCTGCTTCTGGAAGCTTACGGACTCGTCTTGGGTTTGCTGCTTGCATGTATCGACTGACACCTGGCCTCACGACTCTGGTGATCCTGGCTGAAGTCTGTGGTGCCTTCTAAAGACAAGACTCTTCAACCCATAACTGTTAACTACCAGGGACTTCCTACCATGATCTACTTAACTAGCCCGCCTAAGCCTCTAAAAGCGTGGTACAAACCGAAACTCCCCTTCTAGAGTATTTTTGAACATTGTACAAGCGGCTGGAACCACTAACGGAACACGGAATGGGACTTGGGATTCGGGACTAGACCTGGGACTCGGGGCTAGGACTTGGGACTCGGGACCGCGCCCTGGGACTCTGGTGCAGCTTGAAATCCTTTCAAGAATCACCATGCCGTCGTCTTCCGCTCAATCAATTGGACATATAACTACACACTCATCAATGAGCTTCAAGGTCGAAATCTTCCAAAATGGAGCAAGCACAGAGAGAGAGAAAGGGGGGGAGAGATGGAGAGAGAGAGAGACAGAGGGAAGGAGAGCATGGACGTAAAAGAGAGCATCGACAAGGGGGGAGAGAGAGAGAGAGAGAGAGAGAGAGAGAGAGAGAGAGAACGGGTGAGGGTGGACGAATTACTGGAACTATTGTGTGAGTGCGTGTGTGAGTGCGTGTGTGAGTGGGTTGTGTGTGGTGTGTGGTGTGTGGGAGAGTGTTGGCTTTAGACACTACTGCTACCCGATGGGGGTGGGGGAAGATGAAAAGGGAGGCACAGTTACTGGCAAATGTTCGGTCCTTGCGTTAGCCGGGGCCCCACCGGCGGCCCCAACCCTGCACCCTAAACGCTAGGACAGAGGGGCAAACATGCCGTTACCTCCCTCCACCGAGAGAGGTAACCTCCCTTCACCGAAGAGAGGTAGAAAGCTATGCTTGCAGGGGTCCCCTGTATAGCCTTAAGAGTAGTGGTAGGTCGTGAAAGGAAAAAGATATGTTCCATGACATGGCAGAACGCCAGTTAAATATGTGAGGTGAGAGAAGAATATATAGCTGTCCCCCGATGAGGAGAAGACCAAAAAAAAAAAAAAAAAAAAAAAAAAAATCCCTGGTGCAACAATCACTGTAGATAAATAAAAGCATCTGAGTCCAACAATCGCTTTCTAAATACTGATATGCTGACATGGAATACATGTGATGGACATAGTTGCGGCGCATTGAGGTGCGCGCCTCAGCGCACGTCTGGCGCACCTCGCGCACCGCACCGCGCATCGCAACCGATGCAGCGCAAAAAAAAAAAAAAAAAAAAAAAAAGGGTCAGCCCCCCCAAAAAAAAAGCGCAAGGCCTCCCTCTCTCTCTCTCTCTCACACACACACACACACACACACACACACACACACCTTCAGAGACACGCCCGTCTGCACACTTCTGAATAATTTGAAACGTGGAACACTGATGATACTATGCACTGTCGTATGCAGTACCCATGAGCCTGATACGTCTACTTCCTCTAATTTGCTTTTCCTTGCTGTCAAAGGCATGTAACTCTTGTTGAAACAGTTGACAACTTGACACAATTGAACAGATCATGAGCTCTCTCTCTCTCTCTCTCTCTCTCTCTCTCTCTCTCTCTCTCTCTCTCTCTCTC